ATGAAAGCGAAAGTAAGGACGGGGACATGGAATGTAAGCAACATGTATGAACCCACCAAGGCTGTCCAGATTGCCAAAGAGATGAGAAGGTATGTCATAGAAGTGCTTGGAATCTGTGAAAGTAGATGGAATGGAAGTGGACTCTTCAAACTATCAACTGGAGAGTCAATAATCTACTCCGGTCACCCAGACGATCTCACAATCATTAAATGGAATTTGGTAGATTAGATTATTGGATCTATTGAATACTTAAGCCAATAAAGCTTATCTCTGAGTAGGTTCGTAGGTTTAAATGTCAACGTAATTCCAGCTTTGTTGAGAATCCTGATGTTCCTTCCTTATATGCTAACAAAACAGAGATTTTGAATTCCTTTCTACTCTTGTCGTCTCTATTATTCGTATTCATATTGGCGTTATCGTTTTATTTCCTCTGTTTTCCTACGAATTTCTTAATAAACTGTAGAGGATAATTATTAACGCTTTTTTATGTGTTTCAATTCCTTGTTTAAGTCCTTGCACTGACTAGTGAGATGCTTAGCTCTATCATTTAGAAATTTGACTAAACTCATCTTAACTGATATTGGTTGACTTGAAGTATGGATACCTGTTGAAATGTGTCAGTTTCCTGTAGGCTGAGGAAACTTGAGTGCTGACAGAGTTGTGAGGGCGATAGATACTTCCCGGCTGCTCACATCATGGAAGGCTATTTCTTCTTAAAGTACCTGAAAAAGAGTTGTGTGACCACAGAGCCCATCGAATATCTGCTTGAGGCCTGTCACAAGCAGCCTTTTATGTCTGATTATTTGTTGTTTTGGGGCCGGATGGTTGAAAAGAAACGACCAATGAACCAACACCATTGACCCGGCAGACCGTGGGGCATAGCGGAGTGTGTGTTATTTTTGGGGCCGACCTTCTCTAACCCCCCTTTCCATTGAGAAGGCAGCATCAGCATGGCACTGCTGGTCATCCAAGGGAAACACCTTACTGCTGTCACATCCCATCCAGCTAGCAGCAGTACGACTTCACCCTCAGACCCCCATCATAGTGTAGCAATTTACACCGCAACGGTAACTGCTTTCCGTCTAACCACTGTCCAACAGACCTTTCTGGTATGATAGGACCTCGAGGGAACAAGCGTTCCACCAGCATAGCTCGTTGGGTGATTGTGATATGCAAGCCCAACCACAACGTCAAGGTAGCAGCTATCGGTCAGGTCTGTATGCGGTAGTATCCAAACCACCGCCTGTTCTATGTTTCAGCCTAAAGTCCTTCGTAGATAATTCTCCTTGTTCACATTCTACCTCCTCGTAAGTGAATTTATATGTGTGAGGAAACTGCCGATATGTTCCGGCTTCAAATCAGTAAAAATGTTGTCCACAAATCACAATCATGTCTTAGGTACAGGATTAAATGTTTGTAAATCCATTTTTGCCTAAGCATTTATAAACATATCCTCTACGATTGAGGAATATAGGTGATACTGTTGCTGACCTTCTGCACTCAGCATAAAACTTGAACAACATCTGGATTTTTAACACCAATTCAGTCAAGTGAGTCAGTGCTTCTATGTGAAGGTTGACAGAGTTAGCGTGTCACGAAAAGCACTCTCAACAAATTACAGATATTCATCAACAGCTAGCGCCTACGCTCGCTCACTCGATACTGAAGATGAGATGAGATGAGTTGAGATGAGATGGCGAGAATAATAAGAATAAGGAAGAAGGAACTGTGGCTGGCTGGTTGTTGACGAACCAACAAAGCAAGAACCTATCACTCAACAAATGTGGTGAAAGGGGAGGTGGAAATGGAGATGGATTGGTCATACACTAAGAAGACCGATTGGGGACATCACACGTCACGGCAGGTACTCGAGTGGAACCCAGATGGGAAACGACGAGTTGGGCGTTGGAGGTGAGGGTGACATGTAGGAGATTGCGTGAGGAATAACTGAGAGGTTGTGGGTAGTGTTGTAGCCAGGTTGAGGAGATTGTAGAGTGGAGAGTGGATTGGAGATGTGCTACTGAATCCGTATGTTCCACTGGGAACCCAAGGGAAAAAAAAAATATTACTGATCCTTCTGTTTATTTATATATTTTTTCATGAAAGTTGAAAACTGTAGCTGTCAAACACAACTGTACACCTAATATGTTTTCATCAACCTATATCTTAGTTCTGTATGTTCTGAGTCAATATTTAGTTGCCCAGGGCTCTCAGGTTTTCATTGGCTCTCCAACTGTTTTCAGTCCATTATGAATACCATCCTGAGGTCAATAAATCCCCAAAAACCTGAAAAGGGAATTAGTAGAAAGCTGATTATTCTTCTGAAGAAAGTGTAGTATACACGATGAAACGCTCAGAGAAAAATATCGATCTAAAAATTTCAGTTTAGTTATGATTCATAACTTCAACAGAGTGCTTTTATAATAACTGAAATATAAAGCTAGCTAACTATCTAACTGGTAAAATCAACGTAGAACCTGGAACACTACTGTATTGGCTCGAGTTGCTACACTTTACAGCAGGATACAGAGGACAAATGGACCGAAGAAGAGTGATATCATAGTTGATAAAGTTGTCTGAAAAAATAGACAATTTCAAGATAATGGTCAGAGCAAATATTCAATCTTTAGAAGACATCAAGAAGTGAATACATTTGCCTTAATTTGACTGATTTTTAGCCATATCACCAAAACTCCGTAACCACGAATTTCTTTTATCTCAAGGAACCCAACAAGGCAGTCTCTATCACCTTACATGACTCAGATCAACAGTTAGAGACTTCATCCACTTCATATAGTCATCTTTCTTACCCAATGTGATTACTACGTTTATTACCTTGACAGAGCATAATGGTCTATTTGTTGAGTACTTTAGATGTTGAAATATATAGACATATATTGTACTGTATGCAAAGGAATAATTTACTCTTTCATGAGTAAATTGATTAGTCACTGAAGGGCAACCAATTTCGTGTTATCTGGTTGTAAGTGCAGCTCTAATTCTGTCAATCATTTCCCAATGTGATCGTCATTATTCAACTAACATGTATCCCATTGTATCACGATATTGAAACATCTACCTTGGTCACTACACTTCAAATTCATGAATAGAATTTGATCAGTATTTAGAACTAGACAACATGAAGTTAGTTATCTTCCAGTGATCAGTCAATGTACTCCTACAGTTGGCCAATGGTTGTCCGAAAAGCTTAGTGGTAACATCTCCAACTGCAGTAATGAGCAACATCAGTTCAATTCTAGGATAGGACGTCAGTTTTGTCTAAGATAGACTTACACTTTGCTTATCTGAATCGAATTAGCTCTCATGATTGTTGTGCATAGGTAGATGTTAGAGACATTAGATTACTCTCATGAGTTCACATTTCAAAGGAGATTCTCTATTGCTCTGAATGAGAGTAAAATAAAGTCGGGACCTTCCATGAACAACCAATACAGCGTTTTCCATCTGTAATTTGCTTCACTTTGGATTTATACGAGAAGTCGTCATCAAATAGATTAATGTTCGAATCATGATAAATGGACAGTCAAGTATCACTGACCACCGGTCGGCAGTCAGATTTTCTGGATCAGTTGGTAGAGCAGTAAACCGGAAACCCAGTGATTTCTGGTTCGAATCCGGCTGCAGTGTAACTTTTCATTTCACCTTCAATCATCACCTAGTATAAATACTAGTCTGCCAAACCATATCTGCTATCTCGTATAGTCAAATGCTAAAGAAAGTTAAACTTTGATGAACATGATGTTAGGCGATGGTTGACCGCCAATTTACATTCTGCCGGGATTTAGATTTATTGTTCCACTGTCAAATCGTCACTCTAAATAGATCAGTCATTTCACTTGAATGCTGTTAACTGGATCCTCTCTAAGTATGATTTCATGATGTGTGGCTAGAATGTTTTACTTACTTCTCAAAACTTTAATTCAAAGGGGATATTTCAGTAAATGATGACCGGAAGTATATATATATATATATATATATATATATATATATATATATATATATATATATATATATATATATATATATGATTAATCCTTTGTGTTCCTAGAGGAGCATACGGATTGAGTAGCACATCTCCAATCCACTCTCCACTCTACAATCTCCTCAACCTGGCTACAACACTACCCACAACCTCTCAGTTATTCCTCACACAATCTCCTCCATGTCACCCTCACCTCCGATGCCCAACTCGTCGTTTCCCATCTGGGTTCCACTCGAGTACCTGCCGTGACGTGTGATGTCCCCAGTCGGTCTTCTCCGTGCATGCTCAATACATCTCCACTCCCACTTTCCCCTTCACCACATTTGTTGAGTGATAGGTTCTTGCTTTATTGGTTCGTCAACAGCCAGACAGACAGCCAGAGTTTCTTCTTGCTTATTCTTTCTGACCATCTGAGCTTGAGTAACGAGTGAGCGTAGGTGGCAGTTGTTGATGAATATCTATAGTTTGTTGAAAATGCCTTTCGTAATTTGCCAACTCTCTCAACCATCACATAGAAGCACTGACTCACTTGACTGACATTGGTGTTAAAAATCCAGATGTTGTTCACGCTTTATGTTGAGTTGAGTTTAGAAGATCTCCATACTGTAGGAGATCGTGCGAAGAGGAAATAAGAGGTTGTGGGCTGTCGTGGAGCCAGGTTTAAAAGATTTCAGAAAACAGAGCGCATTGGAGACATGCTACTGAAGCCCTATGTTCCATCAGGAACCCAAGGGACAAATGATAACTATAGTAATAAATTTCTGAGGTGATATGAAAATTTAGACAGCGGCTTGATTCTAACTAGTGATCCTGGCACGATTCGAATTCAGATCTCGTAGCTCAGTTGGTAGAGCATCGAGCTAGAAACTCGGTGGTCGCTAGTTCGAATCCAGCCACGGTTCAAATTTTCATTTCATTTTCAATCATCATTGAATAACGATACTAATCATATGAATATTAGTCTTTCTAATTATTTTCATTATTTTCTTTTGAATAGAATGAATAGTGGACCAGCAGTTGTATTAAAAAATAATACATCATCATTATACTCAACAAGTGTATCCAATTTATCCTCAAAGAAATTCACATCTGATTTGAATCAAATGAAAAGTGATGTACCACATTCTTCATGTCTATCTAGTACATTATTTCCAAACTGTTCAATACATATGCTAAATTCTACTGGATGTAAAAGTAATTTTACTAAAATCACCAATTCCACATTTACTACTACTACTACTACTACTGCTACTACTACTAATAATAATAATAATAACAATACTATTACAAATTATCGTTTAACTAATCGGTATAGAATGGATATGATCTATGGAAGTGATACATTATTACATAGTAAAGATTATCAACATGTATATTCTATTGAACATTTAATGAATCATAATTCAGTGGAACATTTAAAAACATATCAAAATGCATCAATAATGGAACCAACTACAAGTATAACAATAAAGCGTAGATTACCACCATTAGGTAAAAGTGATAGCAGTGAAACAGATTTACAATTTAGTTGGAATGATAACAATCTAAGGATTGAAGATGAAAATAAAATTGAAGATCAACATGGTAGAACTGAAGGTAGAAATTTGACAAAAATCAATATTAATCAGTATGATAATATCAACAATGAAAATGGGTAAGTTTTTTGAATTACTCATCAGACTTTGACTATTCTTATTTATCTGGAAGGTGACAGTAAGCTGTCTAGAAAAGGGAAGCGTTCAACTTCATTGCTTATTGAAGTTGGTGTACCTCAAAGTGCTGTACTTTCTCCTTTTACGTATCCTAATGACTTGATGTTGTCTATTCAAGTTAACTATCTGTTAGATTGCTTTAAATTAAATGGTCAATAGTCTATCTCTCAAATAGTCTCAAGTTGAAACCTTTTAAATGTCAGACTGTTAATTTTATCCTCATGACGTCTGCCGCATCGATAATATTTCTACAGAAAGTGAATTGAGTGTTAACTAACCATCTTGGATTGAATTTTACATCTGACCTTCTTGGTTGTATTGTGTTCTATGATAGCTGGGTTGTTATTTAATCGTGAAGCTTTCATCGTCTTTCTAGACAGTGACATCATAACCAATGATTCAGTGGCTTGCTCTGACGATGTGGTCTATGATTGGTTGTTTCCTTTGATTGTTATGTCATCGATTGTATAGACATCCCTGTTGGCTGTTCCTGTGCTTCACCTCTGACTTTTCTTTCGGGTGTATGTCTATACATCTATTGATTGCTGACTGAGCAGAATGCCAACCTTCTACGCATTGGCTGATATTCTGTGTGATGAAATGTCGTGTGTGACGTTTAATAGCCGATTCATGCTCACGCGGACGAAGACAAAGGGGGCGGCCACTTTGTCCAATGTAATGTTGACTACAGTTATCTCAGTTGACTTCGTAAATGATATTCGCTTTGTCTTTTCTCGTTGTTGCATCCTTTGACAGCTTACTTCATACTGAAGTTAGTACTGTGGATGATGTCGTGCAGAAAGACGATGAAAGCATCATGATTAAACAACCCAGCTCAGAGGATGCAATACAATCAAGACAATCCACCTGAACTACAAATATTCTCCGCTACTTATGACCTTTGTTGGTCATCCCATATCTTGTTGACTTGTAAAAAAAATCTTTCGTTTAACTTATTACACATAAAGAAACTGAGACCCCCTGGTATAAATCAACCTTTTCTTTTACAATTCATTAATTCCTACATTTTACCGATTCCTCCTCTCTATTGTTCCCCATTGATCTTTTCTGGTCTTCTAAAAATGGACTAGGTTATGTTGCATAGGCCTTTGAGAATCGTCAGCAGAGTGAGTGGTGTACCTCCGGCTCAATTGATTAATTGATAGACACTTAAATTCCAGTGAGCAACTAGCTACAGAAATTTTAACTAACACTGAGCATTCACTTCATTCACAGCTCTCTCTCTCTCTCTCCTCAGGGAAGACAAGGAGAAACTACATCAAACTGTATTCTCGTATAGCTAAGCATGAGAATTCGACTGTACCTTACATAGAACGCGTATTATGTGGGGAGAACAGGGTGTTAGAATAGAACTCACATCTATTAACTTTATAACAGTGAATAAATTCCACTTCACTAGTCAAAAGTCTCTTTCACCTATCTAGGCAGCATCGTTTCAGTTACAGGCATAGGCGGCACAGGCACAGACGAGGATGTCAAATCCAACCAGGATCGGGAATACAGCAAGACATGTCTTCCTTCATTAACCTGAAACCAGTGTGGAGATCTTCTACACTCAACTCAGCATAAGGCGTGAACAACATCTGGATTTTAAACACTAATGTCAGTCAATTGAGTCAGTGCTTCTATGTCATGGTTGACAGAGTTGGTGTGTGACGAAAAGCACTCCCAACAAACTACAGATATTCATCAACAGCTAGCGCCTACGATCGCTCACTCGATACTGAAGATGAGATGAGATGAGTTGAGATGAGATGGCGAGAATAATAAGAATAAGGAAGAAGGAATTGTGGCTGGCTGGCTGGTTGTTGACGTACCAACAAAGCAAGAACCTATTACTCCACAAATATACAGAATGAAGTGGAGGTGGATTAGCCATGCACTGAGAAGACCGATTTGGGACATCAAGCGCCAGGCCAGGCACTGGATTGGAACACAGGTGGGAAACGGCAAGTTGGGCGTTTAAAGTGAGGGTGATATAGAGGAGGTTGTGTAAGGAATAAATGAGAGGTTGTGGGCAGTGGTGGAGTGAGGTTGAGAAGATTGCAGAGCTGAGAGTGTAATGGAGACGCGCTAGTGAATCGCTGTTCCACTAGGAACCCAAGGGACAAATAATAATAACTTGTAACTCAAGGGTCACCAACTTCATATTGTCTAGTCCTATATGCTGATCAAATTCTGTCAATCCTTTTTGGTGATACAGGTTCATATCTCAGATAATATATCAGTTTCGTAACGGTTGCAGATCCACCTTGCTGATGGATGTCAGCAAAACACGAAATCTAGATCAAACAACACTTCCTGTCAATTGCTTCCATTTAACTAACATCTACCAAAGTACATTGTGATGTTGAGCTAGCTGCCCAGTCAGGTGGCCATTTGTAACATGCCTGTTTTCTTTCGTCTAGTGTCTAAAGGTGATGAGAAATCTAAAAATCTCAGGCAGAAGAATAAAATCTGCATTGTGAAGGAGCTTCCCTGCTGTCTAATTGATCTCAGTTTACATTACACTATGCTGAATAACATAGTTCAAAGTAGACAAATACCCATCTCACGTCAACTTTAATTGTGTTGATCAATTCATCTGTGTTTTTGGAAGTAAGTACATAGGATGGATTCAAAGAAGGCCGTCTACTCGATTTTATCAATATATTCTGAGACATCTGTATCTGAATGGTAGTAAGGTTTTTAAGAGCCAACTTGTCAGGTACCAGATGGAAACAGGATATTAGATCCTTCAGAATAATCAGTAAATACAGAACACCATGTTTATTAAGGTTTGCGGAAGCTCGCTCTATCAAACATTTCCGACCAGACCTATCTACTCAGGAAGACACTGTAGTTCACTCTTCCTTACCTTAGTAACTATGTGTAATCTTTTACATGTGTATGTATATAGTCTTCCATTAATTAATTGCTTACCGATTGTTAAAAACTTAACTATTTCCCAGTTTTTCATGTAATTATGTAACTTGTTGTTACAATATATCATGCTAAGAATTCCAAATAAGTACCACTAATTGTTTGGAATAAAGTGAATTATTATTACCATTATTATTCTCTAACTTATGTTATCATGGTCATAGAAAGTGGAAGATATGAGAAGGCTTCAAGTGCTTGACCACCACTGCCTTCGTAGTATAGAACGTATTCCGTGGTGTCATCACGTGAGTAATGTAGAAGTTAGGTGTACAATTTTAGGTAGGAGAGGTAAGACGGTTGACACGCTTGTAAACCTTTATCGATTGAGATGGTTGGTACACGTACCACGTATGCCTAGTCACCGATTACCTCGTCACACAATGTTGGCTGAAGTAGGTTCAGGCTGGAAAAAGGCCTGATGTGGCCAGACTAAAACATGGCACCAATGTATGAAGTCTCTGACAGTTGGTTTTATCCATCTAGGGCGATGCAGACTAGTCGGCTGGGGTCTGCGAGACAAGAGGAACGAGTGGTTGGAGACTGACTGTAGGTGATATGCCTGAGGACCGATGCCAGTGGCCCAGATGTATCCCCACATACATTATCCTCATCTTAACGACGCTATACCGAATCTCACCATTTTCTCATCCTTCCTTTATCTATTTTCGTACTCTATATTTCTTTTGACTGAATTTTCTTGTCTTCATCCTTCATCTCACTGTCTTTCTACTTTATGTACTGATATGAGGTGTGGCAACTCGGAAGGTTACTCAGTAATACCTGGTCCTATGTCGATTGACTGATTAAGCTTATGTGAACCTGGAATGAAAAATACCTCGAAATATAATATCGCAATTATGGTAGCTATCATTTTATGTCATAATGCAAATTTTTCACGACGTTACTTATTCTAAAATGTTGAAGAATATTCATAGCTCAGATAGGTAGTTGCGTTTGTGTTGTGATGTCAGAGCAAGACTTAAATCACGCACCTTTCTAGACAATATCATACACAGTAATATCTTCACTATAAAGTCACCTCTCAATATCTCAACATCACTGCTTCACTACCTTACCATAATCAACTCGTTTATCATCAATTGTCTCCTTCGATTCTCCTCTCATTCATTAATTGCATAGATTTTCCTAAACTCTCTGATCCTCTACTTCACATCTTCGTTGATAAATTCAGTCTATGTCTATACATGAGTTGATTGATGACTGATTGACTGACTGACTGACTGATTGACCTAAATGTCACTGATATTCTCTGTAATCAAATGTCGTGTGTGAGACTTAACAGTCGACTGGTGTTCATGTAGACGAAGACGAAGACGAAGGTGAAGACGAAGGTGAAGAGGGTGACCACTTTGTTCAATATAGTGTTGACTACAGTTGATTTTGTAAATGATATTCGATTTGTCTTGTTTGCTTGTTACCTCATTCAGTCTGCATAACAGGGATAGGAGGGAATTAGTTGTTTTATGAGCCAGACGAATTCTGAGTGGTCTCAGTAATCTCGTCGTGATTTCTGATATATTTTTTATGTACTGGCCAATGGAACTATGTCCCTTTCAGGACGAAAAAAACTTAAATGTTCAAGTCTGATGGAACGTATCAATCCTTGTCTAACAACATACTTTCAGTTTAATGGCAAGATAAAAAAACAGATGAAAGGAACCTTAGCGGGATCACCGATATTCGAACTGATTACATAGACATTGGTCTAAAACACTGTAAGCCATGATTCTATCTGTTATTAAACCAAAAATTTGGATTCACTGTTGGACGGTATTATTATCATCAATAAGAAATATGATATACAAAATACTAACAGTCTGATCAACAACGTTTTCACTGAAATCAAATTCACAACGAAGAAGGAATCAAACAACCAACTACCATTCTTAGATGTGCTAGTCAGTGGAATAAATGTTGGAAAGCTGGAAACTCAAGTATTCAGGAAGCCAACATACACTGACCAAATCCTCAAGTACAG